AGACGTTGTCCTTTCAAGAATATAAGAGTCGAGAATGACTACTTTTTTTTGAAGACACGTGGATTTCATCGAACTTAGAATAAGGTTATGTACTTCCAATCGCCAACGCGTGACGAGAACCTTGGAGCAACAATTGAATCATTTTTGGCATGGAACATTGATAAAGAGACCACAGCTAGAACTACCAAGAGCTCAGTAACTCTAGAGTAAAGGAGAGATTGATGTACAGCCCAAAAAATCCGTTAGGCACATTGGGCCTTGAATGCACACGATTCATGCAGGAAGTAATTTGAGAAGCGCTCTTGTGTTTATTCGAGATTTCAATGTCACAATGTACTCTGAAGACCCAAGTTGATATCAGTATTATTAAATAATTAGACAGATCGCGATTCTATATTGGGCTCAATCGTGCTGTTTTCGCCGATTCAGTTGCAAATTGATGATCACACTATTTTCTAAAATTAAAGTGGAGAAAGGGTAATACACCTCGCTTAACATCTACTTTGCAATCCTGTACAAATTTCAACCAGCAAATATCATTAAGTAGCAAGGTGCCCCAAAATTTGGCTGTAAATGACCGTTTGATAAGTGAGTGGGGAATCTGACTTCGTTGAATAATTGTTCAGGTTGAAAACAAGTTAGTAGGTGGGACTAATGATAATCCTTCCCCGTTAAGAGCAGGTTGAGGTTTCGTAGCCTTTGCTTCGCAGAAATATTGTCTTTGCGACATAATTTTTGATGTTTCCCTCCTTATTTATTCGATATTGGGGGTTTTTGGCCTCTGGTGTTTTGCAAGCTGTGGAGCTATTGAGGTTTGGTATCTTCTGCCCTTTCTGTTTACTCGGAGGTAGTGTCTGGTCGAAGAGTGAGTTTCAATTCAATAATGCGAGTTTCGTTGGATGGGAAAGAGGGGAAATCACTCATACATCCGTCACTTGGCAGTTAGTTTTGTCTATTTTTATATTTTTATATGTGGATGTACTTGTGCATCATTTTGTGAGCTTCTCATAGTGAAAATGTTTGAAAGTGAAGATACTCTCAGATACACGGTAAAAGAAATAAGTCGAAGATTTCAATGATTTCCACTAGTTTAATATGTATACCTATGCTATATGCCACTCAAATATACTCTCCGCAGCCGCAAATTTAGGTGCTTCTGGATAAAAACCTTGAAGTTCCCTCTGCACATTCCTATGAATGCGTTGGTCGATTCATTTGTTCTCATAAAACATGCCCATCTTCGTCAAAAGCTGAATATCTGCTCCAGAACAAACTTAATCTGATTCAATTACTCTAGAATCACATCTGTCTAGTCTCACTGTCTGTAACTAAATGAATGAGTCTTCAAATCTGAACTCTTTCAATCGTGCCTCATCGACGCTTCAAATGACCAGTTAAAATCAAGACTGCATTCGTCGACGATCATGAAACCAATCCTGCAATGATCACTCATCCCATCGTCCTGGAAATTATATGTGTAATTGATGCCTGACTGAAAGCACAACCAGTTCCCCCATTTTGACCAAATACACACGTGAACTTCCATTAAAACCCCAGCTAGATACTCTGTTCATCCAACTTCCTTTTCCTCCCTCGTTTGAGCTTGTCTAGAACCTGCGACTGAATGACCCAACCACTATCCATAACTCTTTTCACGGAAGCCAGATATCTGTATCTTCTTGGTCCTCGCAATACCAACTTTTTCTCCCGTCTCTCTTTCGTAAGTTTGCTTATCAGACTCTTTATAAAATTATCCTGTATATTCATTCTATGATGTTCAGGTAGTTTTGCAGGAAGTTGAATGTTGCGACCCCCGATTTCCTCATCTGAACTCATATTTGACGATAGAGAAGGAATGATTTGAAGTGAGTTTCGAGGTATATGCAGATCTGTCTCCATGTTTGGAAAATCCGAAAGAGATGAGGTAGCTTTTGTACATGAAATCCAACGGCTTGTGTATTTTGTCTTTGGATTCGTTGCCGTGATGGATCCCATAGAAATCTCTAATGCTGGCGAATTTTCTCTGACTTTGATAGATACTCCGGTAGCATCACGATTTTGACCAGGATCATATCTTCTTCGAAGAGCAGCTGTAATAATTGAATCTTGAGATTTTATTCCTGAACTTGATGATCGCCTTTTGCCAAATCTTGCGAGAGATGGAGTGATGGAGGAAAGTGACCTTTTGAGAATTGTGCTTCGATCTTTCCTTTTTGACTTCTGTAATTTGTGGGATTGTTGATGGGGCATGTTTGAATCTTACAATGGATAAGTAAATGAACATGTAATATGTGTACAACTGGTGTGATTGTAATTTTTGAGTTGGGGATGGCGTGAATATCAATTGATAAGTGACGAGAAAAAAATTGACCGTACTGGGATCTTGAGATGTCAGCACAGCACCACGAAAACACATTGCATGTCAAGTTCAATTTTGGAATGACTGATTGAATTAGAAAATTTCTTATGTTTAATTTGCTTTCACAGCACATAGTAGAGTGTGAGATGCGTAGAAACTTCAACGAGTTCTCCGCTTCTCGTCATCCCACGTAATATTACCTCCTTCATCTCGGTGTAAGTCTAATGGTCGTCACATACAACACTCCATCATATGTTCACTATCGCCGTGGAACAAACGAGAAAGCTCCTCATCTTCGCAAAAAGCCGCTTCCAACTCCTCAGCAGAACATTCCCAATCATCGTCGCAGATATCCTGGTATCCATCCTCTTGTTCAACACTATCAACTTCTCTCAAATCATTTTCATCGTCATCAATCTCACAGTCGCTACAGCTGCCGCTGCCGAGTTCACTCGTTGACATAAGTTTCATGCAGGATTCACACCGCTCCGCAAGTCTCTCCATTTCTTCGATCTTCGTCCCCGTAACTTCACATGCATCGTCCGAAATCCGCCCAAACTTCCTCTTCTCCACTTGTCTGAATTCATTCTGAGAGAAATCATCCCCCCGATTCAAAGTTTGTTTCAATATTTCCTCATCCTCTTCGGTCTCAATGAGACTAGTGCACCATTGGTTATACTCTTCATCTAGCCCTTCTTTCCTTTGTTCTGAATCGTGACTTGGCGTCTGCGGTGGTGAGTTTTCAGAGGTTTCTGAAGCGTCTTCAGAACAGCAAATGTCGCAGATACAAAGAAGACCGCCGTCCATGTTGAATTTCGGGGATCTTCGTTTAGTATTAGGAGTGTAGTTTCAGACTGAGGGGCTTTTGAGAGTGCGTTGACGGATAGAGCAATTGCCGAGAAACGTGAAGGATTAAATTTAGATTGGGCGGCTTAAATTGAACACCTTGTGATCATTTTCGGAGAGCTTCCAGGTGATTATATGGATGGCATGAAAGAGAGGAAAAGTTAGTTCTTGAATAAATCACTTACAAGAAAGATTCATCCTTAGACCCATGATGAAAGAAGCAAATACGCATGAAGTAGACTGAAAGAACTCCATACCAAACAGCAAACATCTCTACAATTCAGCTTTTACCAATCATTATCCTGATGCTCAACACATAAGGTCATCGAGGCTGGGATACTTCTAGTAGTATAAAGATGTCTTCTAGTATAATGCCAGAGAAGATAATCTGTATGCTTGTTCAGAAAGTATTGTGAATTCAAATTGACAATTAGTTCAAAAACAAGGAGCTGATATGGCATAAAAGATAATATTAAGGTGCTCCATCATTCAAGCAATCAAATGTTGTGAATTGGGATCTATGAAAGAAGGTCTACTTATTTTAAAATACTACCTGTAGCAAAAATGTGTTTCTTAGAGTGACAGCAGGCTTTGTTACTACCAGTCTCCTCAGCTCTATCTCATGAATTGCAATAAGCACATAATTCGCAGTCCGTTGTTCTCCTTCCACAATCTTATTTGCGGGAAGATGTTGTTTCTTGTTTTGTGGTGTCTTCTGGGTCGTGAGGCAGAAGTGATCGAATCATAAGTATCCCAGAATCCAGAAAGGATGCATTCATAAAAAAGTACACTGATGTTAAAACTCCTTTGCATTTTTGCTAATCTATAGAAAATTAATTCCTGGTAATATTCCACTTAATGGAAAAAGATCTTCAATAAATGAATTTCCGTATATATTAAGGTAATGTTAATGTCCAATAACATTGATTTTTCATCATCCCACTCAAGCCATCCACAATCCTCGATCTGACATGAATGAAATTATCTGTAAAACTTTGCTAACCGAGTTCTTCATCAAGAATTTCTCCAACTTGCGACAGCAACCAGTTGCTCTCACTATCCTGCTGATGATTTGATATTTCAGTATTCTCATCATCATCCGAAATCTGCTCGTTATGCCCCACAACAATAGACGAAAGCCAGAGGGTAGACACCTTATGGTTTGATAGATGCTCCAAAACCTCCCTATCAATTGAAAAATGTCCCGTGCCTTAGTATCAATAGTGGTAACGGGCAGGCGACGGAGGCCTACGTTCCTGTTCATTATAATATACTAAGCGACGTAGCATTTTTACGACTTCTTCGTATCTCTCCGACTATAATATCCATGCTTCAGGGGAGGATATGAGAATACGTGAAGCAGATATGGCCCTCATGAAGAATCGAATATTAGAATTCATGGTCAGATCGGTTTCAAGTCCAAAGAAGGAAGAATGTTGAGGGAGTGGTTGTATCTTTAGCCTAGCGTGTAAAAATGAATTAGTTCACAGCACTTGTAAATACTTCTTCAAGGGGCGAGGAGGAACAGGTTAATGTTCAAAAGTCTGCGAAATAAACGACGATATATGTTAAGGAATAGCTTACAGTATTTCTGAAAGCATGAGCACTTTTCCCTGTATCAAGCCTAGCAAAACTGCTCGTGGGTCTCCTAAAGCTCTTGCCAAGCAAATGCTATCTGCGCACATGCTATTGATCGCTTCAATAGGAACCCCTGAATTTGTTAGCCACTGCTAAATCCTAACATTAGAAGTGCATTGAATCTGCTCACCATCTTTCCGATGCACAGCTAAGTCTCTCACTGTATCCAAGCGACCCAAAAAGAAATGCAAGTCTTCAAGAACAAAACCAGAGGCAAGATTGAACCGGATATCAGGAGTGTTGATGTGTATATGCATTCTCCAGCCCTAAGCTCAATAGACTTGGGGCAAGTTTTGAAGTTCAAAGCTAGGTAGGCGGGAAAGTATTGAGTTGCGAAGCTAAACAGAGATTCTTCGATGAGATCTTGGAGTACCGTGAGGACAGAATGTTGGAGGGGAAAGGGAAGATTTGTGCTGCACTCATAATCATCTTCGTACGGACCAAGAAATGGTTTGGAAGGACCAGATACTGGTGGATATTTGGTCATATTATCGCGATTAAAATTGAGTTCACCGGGATCCTCGTGTGGCAAAGGACTTGGACGTGTTGAAAGAAATTTTCTAATCTTGAAAGATGGAGTGATACGCGGCTTATAATGTGACTGATGGTTCGATAGCCAGATGTTAGTTTCCAATGCTTCTCCTAATATTGGGATATTGATAAGTCTTCGAAAAGCAGGATCTTGCTGTCGCTCATAGGAAGCGCCCTTGAAAAAGCTGGTTCAACTCAGATCCAGCAAGGAAGTGTTTCGCGGTCCATAGATGCTGGACTAAATCACACATGCGTTCGAATGAAATGCCATGTAGATTTTGTTCAATGTATTGAGGAGCGAATGAATTCAAGAAAGCGTCTCGAGTTTTCTTCTTGCCATAGCGAACGCGTTCGACATCGGATAGCGTTAAGAAGCTTTTGCGAAAGGCCGTGTAAACGACCAGACTTTCGGTATGTATACGAGGGATTGGGTGGAGTCGGGGAACGTGAAACACAGAGTACATCTTGTTGACGGAATCTAGAGGGAATTGGCAGGTCAGAATTTCAATACAAATGATGAGTTTAATGATAACATACCACTTAGATGGGGTGGGTGATGAGATAAATCCATCGTTGCACGTAATACTACAAGTCTGGAGAGAAAGTGGGATAGAGAAGGAGAGGAAGGTAGATTGAGGTGAAAAGTGGTGTAAAAGAGAGATGAACTGAAGCTTCTAGATAAAAGCGACTTGGGAATGTTATTAAAGAATCAAAATTCGCCCTCAAAGTATTTTTCTGGATTTACCAGGAACTGCTCAGCCGTCGAAGAATTTGACAAGCTACAGAAAACAGATAGCAAGGGAAACCACAAACCTTATCTACAGATTGTTTTTCGTAAGTGAATGTATTCACCAAATTCTCATTATCCACGCCAGCCACTAGCACGTGGTCATGTAGTAATTGGTATAGTGGAGGTAGAGCCACCTGAGTAGAAATGGCAATCTTCAGGTCAATCAATAGAACTAAAGATCTTTTTGCATAGGATTAACTGATGAATTAGACTACCTGCACTGTCCACATTGATGTCTAATTCTCCTTAGAGTAACTAGTTATGAGCCTTCCTGACTCTGAATATGCGGCAGAGCTCGTTTGACCTTGATCCTACAACCCTAATAGCGGCATGTATTTCAGAACTTCGAATAAATAGAAACAAGTTATGTCTTTCCCATTATCTCTCATCCGTGTATCCATTCGCAATATTCGTATTCATCATCTCACTTGCTCAGAACAATTCGCCACTTAAATTATTGAATCTCAATCTCAATCTCGATCTCTCAGAACACCTTCTGCACTTAGCATTCATTGAGTTGTCTTGTTCGAAGCTGTGAATATCATGGTTAGCCTTGTAATTATTGACGCTGCTATAGGTAGCTTGTATGAAACGGTCTTGATCGTATGCTGTAGCTGTAACGCCGAGATCGAAACCATTCAATTGATGACTTGCAGGAATGGGAGGAGAGGTACCAGTTGCAGACTTTGTAGCAGTCGAGATCTCTTTAGCTAACTTCTGAGCAGCAAGAAGACGAGTAGCTTCCTCAACCGAGATAACCTCCAAATTCGACTCATCAAATGGATCAAATGGAGCACCCTTAGCACGACGAAGATTGTCTTCCTTGATCGCAATACGAAGAGGACCTTCATCGCAATTGTTAGCATGATCCTGAGAGTGATTCTGCCAGACAGCCACGGGAACCTCACCGTGATTGATAAAGGCAATGTCACTTGGCACTGGAGTGGACATCTTGAACTCATCCGCAAATTTCTTAAGGTCATCGAACTTGGTAGCCATGTCTTGTTTACGGTCTTTGGGGGCCCTGGCAGAAGTAGAAGCCTTTCCGGCATGGGGATCTTGGAGCGTAGAACGGTTCTTAACCTTTCCAAGCCGACCAAGTTCGACTTGCTGAGCTTCCTTCGATGTGAGACCGTAAAATTTTGGGGGACCATTGAGGATAGTTTTGTCATTTCCGAGAGAAACAAGAGAAGATTCTACAGGCTTTGTTTGACCACCATTCTCCCAGTAAGGACCACCATTCTCCCAGTAAGTACCACTATTTCCACAGGAGGGATAAGTAGCTGGCATGTTAACCTGTTCTTGGCCTTTCGATTCAACTTGGTTATTGCTTTCCTGTTCCATTGTTAATAATGCCGGTTCATATGCTGAAGCTTCAAGGTCATGATCATCTTTTGGACCAGTTTTTGAGACAAGTCTAGCTTGCATAGCGGCCTGTTCTTGCAGTACTTGGATTCTCTTCTTTCTTTGCTGCTCCAGTAACATTTCTTGCATGGCTAGCATCGAATCTTCCTGAAGGGCATATCCAACATTTGAAACGCCGCGTTGCACTGGAACTCCTTCCCAAGTAGGAAACAAAAACTCTTGGGCTTGGATACCTTGAGGCTTTTTGGTAGCCGTCTGATGCTTCTCATCCCCAAAATTGAGCTTCTCGTTGTTTAAATGTGGGAGTGAGGACAGTTGCGAATGGTGTTTCTCCAAAGTATCAAGCAAGGTATCAAAATCCCCACCGCGTCGTTGAGCACGTGGTTGAGCTACTCGACGACCTCGAGTCAATGAACGCTTTCTGTTTCCACTCTTTGAACCAGAGGCACGAGGTGGGACAACTGGGACATTATTGTCATTTTCATCACCCGAAGCCAGTGCAACCTCGATCGCAGAAGTAGTATGAGCTGCAGAAGTTGTCCAAAGACAATCTTGACGATCGCGAATGTTTTCACTCAATGGTCCATTGTCTACAGTGGTCGCTTGATCATTCTCTGACTCTGACTCTGCAAAGGAGAGGGAATCAGATGGAACGATACTATTTCCCTGTCCACGAAGATTTCCTGGTATGTCTGTCACCGATGCAGCGAAGAATACACGCTTTGTTGATCTCGATGGCGAACTCCAATTGTCAGATTGAGTGGGAGCCCAATCAGAATCATCGTCATCCCCCAGGTCTGAATCGCAACATCCGTCATCTGCCACAATGCTCGATGGCGGCTGACGTCCACGTCTAGTTCGACTATCATAATCTGCACCAGAGTTCGATGGTGATCCAAATAAATGTCCACCTTCACTACTGCATATACCATGGGTTCCGGGGTATCGATGATTATCAAGGGTTCCCTGGATGTAAGGGCCACCTTTTGAGATTGATGCAGTAGTATCAAGCTCCGGAGCCAAACTACCGTGTGTACCTTCGATGGGACGCTTAGGGGTTTTCGAATGAATAGGATACCAATTGTTGTCTGACTTCGATAGACCCCGCTTCGCATCTTGCTCTATAATATGCTTACGAACACACTCTGCGCGTTGATCAGCCGTCATGCCTTGAAGCTTGTCGTCCGAAGGCAAGCTGAAGAAAAAAGCTTCTGGATCACGAGAATTCATGAAGTTTATTGTCCGACCAGCGAGGTAGTCCAAACACTGGCTGTATGTCCATGGTTGTTGCAAGAGCACAGCGGAACCATTTGGCTCAATCTTCATACTTCCATACTCTGGAGGATCCGGGCAATGAAGAGGCGGTTCATGCGAGAAATATGAGGAATCAGTACGCGAAGTTACCTTAGATGGAGGGTTGTTGACGTGGTACTCAGCGGGGCGGATGTAGACGATCGTCTCGAGCTTCAAGATATCCTCAGCGGTCCAGTGTTTTACACCACGGGACAACTGGTACGAACATTAGTTTATTTCTTGGACAAAGACGAGGAGAAAAATGCTTACAATGTCTTCACAGCTTTTGCCTGAAATGGTTGCTATGTTTGGCGTATCGGTGTTCTTACTTACTTCTGCTGCGGCTTTAAAAACGGCTCGCTGGAGAGCAAAAGAGGTAAGATTGAGGCAGCGACTGATCATGGAGGTAAGCATGTATCCATTTCGGCTGAAGTTTGCATAATGTTTGAGGCTGAGGAACGGTTGACCGGCCTGAATACTCTGCTGTGCTTCTACAAGCGCTTGAACCGATTGCGGATGGCGCATACTCTGTCGAAGAAGCTCCACTTGCTGGAAAAGCTTTTTGCGTTCCGCTAGTTCCATGTGATAATATGATTTCTGGTACAGCTGGAGAAAGATCTCAAATTCAACCATACTCGGAAATCCTGAATTTTCCATGATCAACAAATCCAAGTACGTCAATCGTGGAGGTGGTACGAAAACATCTTCTGGGCCTTGTCTACGGCTGCAGGACACAACATTGATGGATGGACAAACATGGCCCGAGGATGATGTTTGTTGAACAGCAGACATTTGGGGAGGAGGGGTAGATTGAGGAACGAATTGGGTAGTAGGGATAGGCAAAGGGTTGGCGGGTTGGCCAGGAGCGTCGAGAGATTGATCGGAAGGTTGGCGCGTCATTTCTCAGTAAATAACGCAGCAAGTGCTTATCGATTTCTGTAAGTCGGATTGATCAACTGGAGTTTCAACTTTCCACGTCAAGGGCTCGAAGTTGAAGATTTGTGGAAACTTGCAAAAGGATGTGGTTTTTGTACAATATCAAAGAGGGGGTAGTCCAAAAACTACAGTTATTGTGACAAGCACAACAACAATAGATTTGCAAACTTGTTGAAAAAGAAGTTGTTTTTTAGAAGTATCAAGTAAGAGGTTTGTAGATCGAAGTTGAGAATTGATGAGCAGAGGAGGGTTTGTTATGATTCCCGAGGTCAAGATTGTTATGGGGTCCGTGCAGGGTCGAGCCATAGGCAACAGGAAGGTCAATCAGGTGTCATAAGTGTCACAATTCGAATTCACTATATCCTCTATATCCTCGGCTTCTTCGGGACCGAGATGACTTATGTGTGAATAATTTTGGGCAATAGAAGAACAGATATGAATGTTGATGGTTATGAAACAAGTCACATAATTCGAGCTTGGTTTTTAGACTCACGAGTTGGTCTGCTTTGATATTTTTAATACTCAGAGAGAGAGGGAGGTACATGACTAGGTCTTTGATATTCTTGAACACAAACACAATGATTTTGAGCACTTGCAACTTGAACATAGTCATACTATGTGATAGAGAAATATGAATGATTAAAGCATATCAGGAAATCGAGAAGGACAGTGAAGACAGGCAAGACAGGTTTTATCAGATCACTAGACTTGACATTGCAAGACTACCTACCTGAGCAACATGTGAATCAGTGATTGCGACCAATAAGTACAAACTCAAAGCAATTCACAACTTTGAAAACAAACCTTAGGAGACAAAAGCCTCATACTACGCCTCTATACTCGGACTATGGTAGGAACCTTCAAAGGAGAAAATACAATAGAACTTAGTAGGCATGTAATATCCTCGCTCGAGGCTATTCACTCGATACCCCCCCCTACTCATGCTATAGTAATTTGCTAGAAACGACTGATTTGCAACTCAAACTCAAGATATTGTTATGTCCTCAAACCTGCATGATAGTTCACAGTGCAGGATCTTCATTTATAGGACACCAGATGATTTCATTGTCTCCTAATTTACATATCATCCATAATGGGAACGACGCCCCGTTCAGCCGATCTATCATAGGTTCGATCTATGCAAGTTCCCAGTCATCATGCCCCCTATCAGAAATTTCTCCCATTTAGTGTTTGTCGGCTGGCTTTGGGGTCTTTGCGTTTGGGTTTCTAGGATCGTTCTTGAACTCCTCGCCTGTAATAGCCATTCTCGTCAGTATTCCCTCATAAGCACATCTTTACATTCCACGTGCGCAGACAAACAATGGAATAGACGTACTGTTGGCCATTGCGGTAGCAGCAGAGTTGATTCCGTACATAATGACGGCACCTAATTCCCCAAGTAATATTAGCCCATAGTTCAGGCTCCAGCTTTCCGCTCCTCCCCAGTTGCAGATGCTTTCGACCTTTGCATTTCGCGATATACTTGGGATGAATGGCTCTCAAAGTAACATACCAGCAACGAAGAAAGGAGCCATTGGCTTTGCTAAAAACACAATTTTATCAGTAAACATTACTTGGAGATCGGAAAAGTGCGGAACGAAAGCTTTTCACAGCTAGCAATTGAATGGCTTCACATACCGACAGGCGCAGGGAACTTCTTTCCTAACCAAGACATTGTGAATTTGTGCTGTGGGATATGACTGAAATTGTACCGGTGGGTTGATTGGAGGTTAGACGGTGGTGATTCCGATGATAGTAGTGAGGTCAACTATGGGAAGGGCCGCAACTGAACAGGGCTAGAATGTATTGGGCTTAGTGACATGTCACGTTTTCCAGGAAATGCTGAGTGCCTTGTTCGTGAGGCCAAAAGCTCAGACTTTCCTCAATCAGTTTAGTCTACGATTGTTGGCCTATCTTCACGTGTATCGACATCTTCAGCTTCATTTCCCCATACAAATCCAATGGATACAAGAGAGAATCTGAATTGTGATTGGTCTCCACAAGAAACTCCAAGCCCGCAAGCCCGCAAACCCTCACATTCATCCGAAATGGAGCCACCACATCCTTGCCTTACTCCTCACTTTCGTCACTGCCCAGCTGCAGCTTGGTTGTCCTCTTTTCCCCTTTCAGTTCATTCACCACTTCCTCTCTTTCTCTCACATCACACCTCCAAAGTATTGTAACCACACGAACCTTTGAACCAATCTATTTCTGCATACAATTTGGATCTTTTCCCGCTCGAGCTATTCACCATTTGATAGTGCTTTTTATACTTTAAGACGGACAAAACAGTCAAAAAGTGCGGGGTACTTGACAAGCTTGCTATTGTTGGATTCCATTTTAGCCAATTATATGGTTTCTTGTGCTACGAACGTATCAAACCTAAGCCAAACCTATTTTGCAGCTTCCATCTTCCTTTGTTTCTGTTGATTGCATCTCCGAAAAAGACAGGAGGAAGCAACAACAATTCTTCTTGAGAATATTGAATTCTATTTCTGCTTTGCATTCGAAAACGAGCGAGACGAGACGAAACGAGACGGGGTAAATCAACCACGGCAACGACATCATACCGGCGCTTCGGAAAGTACGAAGATACAATACAACCCATTATACGATACTTCAATTAACCAAACGACATTCCTTCCTTCACCTCTCTGAGATTGTAGAACTTTCAATTACGAAATCGGATTCATCCTTCAACCAATTTCTAACAATCCCAATAATCGTTACAACTATTGACCACACCAATAATCAATCAACAACTTCAAAATGTTTACACGACGAATCTCACGCAGCTCTATCACGAGTCAACCTCTTAGAGCCTTCGCGACTACATCCACCTCCCTCTCTCGTACACCAGCCCTATCAAATATCACCCCCCAAGGTGTGGCTTCATTCGATGCAAAGCAGAAAGAATTCCGAGAAAGAATCGCAGAACAACATCGCAAGAAAGAAGCTGCAAGTGAGTCCAAACTATCCTCCCAAGCTCAGAAATCTGCTTCGGCAGACCATACACTAAATGGAGTAGAGAACACAAACGAAAACGGGGAGAAGAAAGGAAAACTAAGTAGTTTAATTTATGGTACTCCTGAAGGTCGTGAGATGGAAAAGGAGATTGAACAGAGTTTCAGTCAGGTTTTAGCTAGAGGCAAATATGTACACTCGATCGTGTTTCATGAGGTCAAGCCAGATAAGGTTGATGAGTATGTCCAATTGGTTGGAGAATGGTATCCAAAGATGGCTGGAATGGAAGAGAATAAAGTACACTTGGTTGGAAGTTGGAGAACAGAGGTTGGAGATTGTGATACGTTTGGTACGGTCCAATCCTCGTTTACTTTTGAATCTATTCCACCCCCAAACGCTGACAGATGAATGATTGCAGTTCACATTTGGGAATACCAACGATATCACGGTTACCATGACTCCCTTCACAGTATCGCATCGCATCCTGGCTTCCAAGAATTCGACAAGAAACTCAAGTCTCTCATTACAAAGAAGAACGTTTCTCTCATGCAAGAATTCTCCTTCTGGCCTACTACTGCACCCCGTGAACTTGGTGGTCTCTTTGAATTACGCTCGTACACGCTGCACCCCGGAAACCTCTTAGAATGGGAGACTCATTGGCGCCGCGGTCTAAAGGCTCGCAGAGAAGTCATGGAAGGCGTCGGAGCATGGTTTGTACAAATTGGAGAACTGAATACCGTGCATCATTTGTGGCAATTTGCGGATTTAGAGGAAAGAAAAAAGAGAAGAGAGCAAAGCTGGGAGATCGAGGGCTGGGGAGATACAGTTCACAAGACTGTGCCATTGATTCAAAATATGAAGAGTCGAGTGTTGATTCCAATGCCATGGAGTCCAGTTGCTTGATCTGATATCTGCATGGATAGGACACCGGAATCAGCGGGAGGATTGAAGTTATGCATTAAACGTGAGCGTTGCGGATACCAGTACAAATTTAATCAATGAAGTGCGATATTGAAGCGATGACAGTTGAATGGACCATACCCAGCTCTGAACTTGAGGGACAAGATCAGCACGCTGCTACATGTATTAAGAAATTGATAACAACCAAGGGAAGCTTGTAAGGAATTCAAATGCAAATGTTTCAACGCTGTAGATCGGTGATATTGTGAGATTGAATGGAAAAGTATTAAACAAGGATTCCGCTAGCGTCTCGGCTCGTACCGAGATGACAACAGTATTGCACTATCTACTCCGTCACTCTTTATTCACATACACGGCATTTCATAGACCATATAACTAACTTCAAAAGGTCTTTTCAGCTTTACAAAAGCGGTCGTGTTTGCTCAACGTGGATGAAGGCGCAGCACCGGTTCACAGCAAACTTTCTTGTATTTTGGGCACCCACGGGTGGCGTGTGAAGGGCCGATGTTGAGCTACTTCATAAAAGCCTCAGTACACGATAAGTGTCTGTTACCAGAATTTTGATTTGTTCTCCTTTCTGTACCTCAATAGCTTGGTTGCCTTTGTACCTGCATCTCCAGCATGCTGCTTACCTTTCCCAACAAGAATTGTGGCATAGCGGGTGGTCAAGACAAACATGAGGTTCGCTGTGCGACATTGTATTGCACGATTTCTTTTCCAAGTATCATTATTTGAATTTAGTATCAATTTCAAACTGAAAAATGAACTACTCGCAAACTTTTCTTTTCCATACTGATAGTCTTTATTTTTCTGTCAATACCAATTCATTGCCAATCTCAAGACCATACAATGGACGGTAACTTCCCATACAACGGCATTCTCCCATTTACATACCAAGCATCTGGGATTCTCTTTGCAGATTGGATAAATCTATTTACACTCTGTCTCGCCCCCCTCATTGTTCATATCGTTGCTGGCGTTCCATCGCCCGTCTATCTCTCTAGCCCACGACCTCGTTGGCACGAGCGGCTCGGCCACTATAATCCTACTTCGATACTATGGCGTTACTTCTCCATTATCGATCGACGAGCACGATCGCGTGCATGGAATTCTGCGGATATGGCAGCTAGTAATGCATATTTTTGGACATCGAGTGGTTGGGATGGCTCCGAAAATATGATGCGGAAAAGTCGACGCTTTTGTTCTCGCATTCCTAGTTCCCCGCATGCTGTTTGGGTTTCGAAGACCTCAGCCGAAACAGTAGCGACTGTATTGCAAGGGCTGCAAGCCGCTTGGCAATTGGTCGGAGGATTGAACGGGGGTGCCTATTCTAATACTATCTCTCTGGGGACGGTTTTTGCACCGCTGGCTATATGCGGATTAATAAGATTACCAGCGGCGGTCTGGATATCTGATGACTACTCTTACGTGGATGTAGATATCGATAGCGATAGTGACTTCGAAATGGAAACTCGCAACGGATACAGCCTAACTGGCACGCAAATCACCAACAAGTCGTACCCTTCTCAGCTTAGGACTTCTCGAACCATTCTCAGTCCAGTCGCTTAACCTCCACTCTCCCCGTAGCTGGCGCGGTATAACTGTACAGATTCTCTTTCTCCTTCCGTTACTTGCTCTCCTGGTCCTAGCGCTCCTTTATCTTATACCTTATGAAAATTCATCTTATCCTTTGAATATCTTCTTCACACTTACTCAATTCCTTGTCGTCGTATTCTTCACCATCTTCCTCGTTTGTTCAATCCCAATCTACACATTCTATTTCCTGACTAATAATTCCACCACCACTATCATCCCATGCGTAACGAGTCTTTGGTACAAAATCTACACAGCCCTGTTATTCGCCTGCATTCTTGGCCTAGTATGTATTGCGGGTCTTGAGACTCGCGCCACCCCATGTGGTCTATATACCACTACGCCGCCTGGCTTTTTTGATATGGTGGTTTGTGGAGGTCTGAGTGTGGCTAGGAATGGGGCTGTGGATGGGATAACTTCTGGTTTACCGTTCGGAGTTGCGTGGCGGAATAGTACGAGTGAGGAGTTGGGGGGTGGAGTGTTCTATATGGGGGAATTTGATGGGTGGTGTAAGCTTGAGATCACGGGCGAGTAGTTGAAGCCTTCATGCCTGTCAATTTTTCGAGCTTTGGTGGGTGAAATATCTGAGGGAGAGCGTGAAGATGTAACATGATTCTTATGTGACGTAATTCTAAGGCTCGAATAGAGATAAATTGTTCCTGGGAAAACCTATCGTGTTCCGGTAACTACTACAGATGATATGGTTGGAAGACAGAGCTAAGAATTTCAAGATTCCAAAACGCATGACCGAAGGTTTACTCTCACTTGCAAGCTATTCAAGTGGTCGCTGGTGTGACTTTTCCAGACAGCAGTCAAGATGATCCCATCTGCAAGCTGTTATCTCGAACAACTAAATAGGAAAGTAGAAATTCAATTGTTGATCATAGTCTATGTAAGGTTGCGTCTTCTCCAAGATATAGAAAATCATATCCTTGAATCCCTCTCATCAACGCCATATGCCAAATGTAACTTACTGAAACAAAAGCGACGCGCCACGTTCAATATTCCCACGTTGATTTCTGATTGTCCACATCTCTCAAATTTGGTAAAACTGGTTGTGGCTCATTATTCCCCCGCCAGCAGAATCAGCGTCCAGTCGTTTTACTCGCTTGGGCAAATTATCCACAACCGAATCCTCAAGTTAATCATCACAAGCGCTACCACAAATGAACGAACCCTGAGGCTCCGGAACCCCCGTTACATCCACTCTCTTTGTTCCTTCCACTTCCCCCTCATTAATTCTTTCACATAATCCCTTTAATTTCTCCCCTACCCACTCGAAATCTCTCAATTCAAGATATATCTGCGCGCTCAATCTAACCCATAGTACATTCGCATGCCATCCTATTTGCAAATAGGTATCAAATTCTTTGACTGCGGTTTTGTTGAGCCATACTTTGATCTTTTCTGCATCAGCGGGTTTGAATGCTGTTGTCTCGGGTGTTGTATGGGACTCGTCATTGCTCTTACGCAAAAAGGGTATTGGTAGCTTGATGTTAGTAAAACACGTTTGTCTTCCGGGCAAGATGGGGAGAGTGTGCGTATTCAGGGCTGAAGCGCATAAGTTACCGCCTGTTTTAGCGAGATCAAAACAATATTGACGAATTGACGCTTCGCCGCCGCAAACGTTATTCCGGAAGGATATTGCAGCGGGGATGCACAGGTATGGTGTGTAGTCAATTGTTGCTACAAAGTTGAACATGGAGACGAAATAGTTATTGATATCTTCCAGATTGCCATTCTTGGAACTTTTGCGGTAGCCGTGAGATGTAGGAAGGGAGGTTCGGATGAGATGTTGGTTGCGGAGGGGTACATAAAAAACTGCGCACGAGCGAGGGGTATAGAGCCATCTGCCGTAGGTTAGATTACAACATTTATGAGAAGAAGATATCATACTTATGACAGTTACTGACGAAAAAGTCGGGACTGACTGAACCAAGGTGTGTAAGATCGATGTGTCCGATACCGTGAGCACCATCAATTAAACTCAAGACACCTAGTTCTTTACATATCCGTACTAGCTTTTCCCAAGGCATTCGAACACCGGGGAATGTCAGGACCTGTCGTCAACATTGTAAGAAAATTGAGATCATCAATCAGAGTCAGATTAGATGCACTTAAAGGAATTTATGAGAGATAATGTCAGAACTACTGACAATATAAAGTGACTTTATTTGTAGGATCGAGACAGCCTTACCGTATCGAATATAGCCAACTTAACTTTTGTGCCCATCCCTTTTACCAGCTCTACAAACTCTCTGAATTCTCCTAATTCACTCTCCTCATTAATCGGAAACTCCAATACCTGACAATGCGTCGCTACTTCTACTCCTAACATCTCTCTTACACTTTCAACTGTCTTCTCACACGCATCATATATCGTGCTGAAATAAACAATCATATCTCCCTCCTCCCATTTCAGATTCCTCAATACAGTATTCACCCCCGTCGTTGCATTCGGGATTAGAACCACTTCCTTCGGATCAGCACCTAGAAGAGGTGCAACGGCTTCTCGTGATTTATCAACGAGTTCTGGAAGATCATAGACGTAGAATGTACTGGGTCTTTCAGTACATTGCTTCTGAAATGCATCTTGAGCTTGTTGGATAGGACGTGGGTACGCGCCAAAGGAGCCGTGGTTTAAAGGTGTGTAGCTGGAAGAGAATTGGAAATGGGTGTCACGCATGCGATGGCCGAATGGAGGCCGAATTGTCATTGTGATGAATAGGAAAATTATGATATTGTTTGATTTTAATTGTAATAGTGGTTATATTTCAAGAAAAGTCACCGTTGTTGATGGTTTGATCAATAACTCGTTGATCGTTGCCAAATCGGAATCCAGAGTGAGGTGTGGCTGGAATTCGCACGTGATTTTTGTTTCATCCACCCACTTTATCAGCTACATTTCGTTTGCAACTGCCTATACTGGTCTCAAAATCTTTGTCATTTTCATAATCCTTCCTTTTGCGCACATCAATGAGTTGCTTGATGGGTGTATTTTTTATTATTGTGAATGGCATTGTGAACAATTTAGAGAAGTCAGATAATTTATGCTGTGTATGCTTACCTCGAATGACGTTTGGTAATATGAAATTCCAACTGTTTGTTGGCTACCTGTTGTTGGCTCCAGTATTGCTGATGCCGTCATTGCCGGCAGTCAGATATCTATGTACATCTGAAGACCACCTTGCTCCATAATGTCAAATAAAATAGATGCTAAAAAATCTATTGCAAGTTGACTGCCGAGCTTCAGAGACTGCAAACGGTTAAGTATAAGGAAGTTACTTGTTAATTACTACGAGCTCGCGAACCATGACTTCTCGAAGATGGAAAGATGAACTCGTTCCCAACATTGTTGACCATCTAGCTGAAATTGATCCAGAGGCTTTGTATGCAGAGTATCCAGTTTCTACTTTGACGTACGATTATGGCTATCGCAAGATCACCTATGGTGATTTTGCAAGCGCTGTCGACTGTATTGCTTGGTGGATGCACGAAACCTTGGGTCCTGCCAAAGACTTCGAGGTTTTAGCCTATATCGGACCTAATGATCTGAGATATCCAGCACTGATATTGGGTGCCATAAAAGCTGGCTACTTGGTGAGAATCTTCCCTAAGCTGTCTCTATCCATAGACCTCAGTACGCCATCAATTGCGCATATTCTTCTCTGTATTCATCAAATTCAGATTTTTTTTGTCATGAACATGCAACGCTAAGGTCTGAAAGATATTTCTCACCTCCCCCAGAAACAGCGTCGAAGCTCAAATAAACCTGCTTGGTCGCCTGAAATGTAGAACTATTCTATCACCGACTCCTCGTCCTCCTCAAATCACTGAGATCCTCGAAGCTAATTCTCATCTTCGCGTCGTTGAGGTTCCGAGCGTTGAAGATATTCTGAAAAATAAGAGGAGACGTTTTCCGTTCTATAAAACTTTCTCTAAAGCGAATCAAGAGCCCTTCGTCGTTGTGTAAGTTGAGTGAACCCATAATTATGCTATGTCAAAAGCTAATCTAACTACAAAAGGCATACTTCTGGCTCGACTGGATTTCCAAAGCCTATGATCTGGACTCATGAAACTGCTCAAAGAAACATCGCATTGATGGCGCTCGACCCTCCAGCTGGCTATGAGAGCCAACATCGAATGTATGAGGGAAAAAGAGTATTTTTAACCTTTCCACCATTTCACGTGAGTTCCGAGTTATATTTGATGACGCCATCGTTTCTGATGCAATATTGTTTAGGGTGCATACCTTTGTTGTCATTTGTTCAATGCTGTGCCATTTGGTACAGTGATGATTAGCCCTACTTCCGGAGCAATACCATCCGCGAAAGGACTTGTGGATGGATTGAAGAAAACACCAGCAGATATCGCATTCATAGTACCATCTATTGTGAACGAGTTGATCCAAAGCCCAGATCTCCTCGATTATTGCGCTGAGCATCTGGAAATGATAATTTACTGTGGAGGAGACTTACCACAAGCCATCGGTGATATAGTTGCATCTAAGATCAGACTGGTGAATCAATTTGGAGCTACGGAACTCGGCTTATCAAACCTGATCCATAGGAATGGCAACTTCGACCGAGGAGACTGGAAGTACGTCGAGTTTCACCCAGACATAGGTGCCGAACTCAGACCAATAATAGACAATACCCATGAGTTGACTATGCTTTCTGACCCCGAACTGTCAAAGCAGCAACCTACCTTTACGATGTTTCCTCAAGCAACGAAATATGCCAGTCGTGATCTCTTTACCCCCCATCCTAACAAGCGAAACTTATGGAAATGGCATGCAAGAGCCGACGATATTATTGTATTCTTAAATGGCGAGAAGACTAATCCTATATCAATGGAGCAGCACATTGTAGCTCGCAATCCAGAAGTTCAAGCGGCTTTGGTGATGGGCGCACAACGTTTTCAAGCATCACTTTTGATAGATCCTGTGAATAGAGATATCGATATCTCAACAACAAAGCGCGCAGCGCTGCTAGAAAAGATCTGGCCCTCAGTGGAAGAAGCTAATCAAACATGCCCAGTGAGTATACATTTCCATCCTGAAGAAGAGATTTGAAAGACAACATGACCTCTTGGCTTTTCCTCTATCATTTAACGACGAGTAGTTACTAATGTAAACGATAGGCTCATGCAAAGGTTGCCAAGACACACATTTTCTTCACAAACCCAACCAAACGTATGTTGATTGCGGGAAAAGGCACGGTTCAACGAGCAGGAACTTTGCAACTCTACCGGGAAGAACTCGATGCTTTGTATGCAGACGCAGATAGCATGACAGCAGAGATAGACGGCGAAATCTTCTCTAACATCGACATTAGTGATTTACCAGCGGTTTCCGAGTTCATGGAAGACACTGTGATGAACATTACTTCTTGGCCTGATCTAGATGTGAATGAGGACTTTTTCGCTCGCGGAATGGACTCTCTGCAGGCTCTCACAGTTGTGAGAAAGATTCGTCAAGGCCTTGGCATTACATCAATTGCTTCAAGTACACTTTATACCAATCCATCAATTGCTCAATTAGCAAGCGCTGTAGTGAAGATTTCCAAAGACGAGAAATCTATACATGGTCAACAGATGACAGGCCAATCGAGAGACGGTATTCTAGAGGAGTTTCGAAACCGCATTGATTCACTTATATTACCTCCGCCAACTTCCCACAAGAAAGTTGACACAAATCATGAAATTGTCGTCTTGACTGGGTCTACAGGCACGCTTGGTTCCCATATTCTAGGGAGTCTTCTCCTAAATCTACGAGTCGCTCGTATATACTGCTTGAACCGCCCATCATCAGATAAAAGTCTCCGAGAGTCTCGAAGCCAATCCGCAGACACTGCCGATACTCGTGTCACATTTCTTACCATAGATCTCTCGAAGCCACAGCTTGGAATTCGCTCAGAAGACTATTCCAACTTATTACAAGCAACTCGCATCATTCATAATGCCTGGCCTGTCAATTTCAATCTATCATTGTCTTCTTTCCGTTCGAGCATTGAAGGTCTGATCAATCTTATTGCACTCGCAGTGTCGAGCGTAGGAGGGAGGTTATTTTTCATATCTTCAATTAGTTCCGTCATGGGATACAGAACTTCGTCTGGTGCTACACCCGAAAATATAATTCAGCCATCGACCGACCCAAGTAAATTCATTGTAGCACCAAATGGCTATGCGGAAAGCAAGTACATCTCGGAACTTCTTATCTCTTACGCATCAGAGAAATTTTCATCTTATGGGTATGAATTCTCCCTCGCAAGAGTCGGTCAGATAGCCGGCCCGGTAAGAGCTAAAGGGATGTGGAACAAGACTGAATGGTTTCCAAGTCTCATTCTTAGTTCTATACATGTAGGTTGTATTCCCAGCTCTCTGGGTTCGAGCCTTGGTAGAATCGACTGGGTACCGGTAGATTTACTTGCAGATATCATCGCAGACTTGGCTTTGGCCAATGATGTCCAAAATAAGGGAAGACCGGTTCAGGTTTTCCATCCTTTGAATCCCAATCCCAAAACCTGGGAAGATATAAGAGAGGAGCTGGTAATGGACTTGAGTTATATTTCTGGCGAATTGCTAGACGTCGTTCCACTCGATGTCTGGATCGCGAAAGTTAGGCAAGATGTAGAGCTCAAAGCGGGAGCTGGGACCATATTGAAGGACGGAGAATTAGATGAGATCTTGAAGAAGAACCCCGCAGCCAAACTGTTAGAGTTTTACGAAGATGTGCTTGGAGGTGGCGAGGAAAGTAATTACTTAGAGACGGAAGAGACTCAAAAGGCAAGTAAGACTTTAAAAGACTTAGAGGGTGTGAAAAGGGAGTGGATTGCTAAGTGGGTTTCTGAGTGGGTGGGTGTTTGAAAAGGAAGGGGTCCAAAAATTGTTGTGGACGACTTAGGTCATGATTTTGGTTGCAATTCTTGTATAATTGAAGTATCTTCCGAGGCTTCTCTGGACAAATAGTTTCGATCTAAGTATCTAACGATGGATTTCATGCTATTCGATATCGAAATCTTCGTTCTTGCTGCGTGATTGGTGAGAAACGCTTGGGTTTATCAGATAACAGGGAGTTCTGGAGGGTTTGCATTTCTCACCAGGATTACCTACAATATCTGGAAACTTTTTCCAACAAGTCACATTAGTGAATCGAAGGAAAACAGGTGGCTGTGTGCCTACTTGGCCCAAGAATCAAGCTTTGGGGGAGTCAGGATACATCTCTCGTTACCTCGAAGTACCAAGATGGTCAGAACCGCAAGGATGAGCTCAAAGTTCGGCGATTTCTTTATGGAAATATGCTTGCTAATTTTTTTTTTTTTAAAGAGAAATGGGTTTATTGCAGCGAAGATTCCACTGATGCTTTAAGAATCATTCCCATAAGTAGCACAGAAACACATCAAGATTAATATCAAGTGGAGAGGCATTCGTGTGAGCAAGGGCTCTCTGATAATATTCAGAATTTCTGCAGCTTTTTTAAATGGGCTGCGGTATTGGATTTGAAATTTGGAGGAAGGTTTGATTGCAACGCCGCCAAAAATTTCGAGAATTACCATTGTAGTGATGCTCTGTCTCTGTTACAAATGAGATTATAAGATTACATTCTAAATATATCCATACATGCTCCGGACAAAAATATGCAGAGCCAGACATTATTGACTGATTTAAATCTATTACAATCGCTAAATTGAACCCCCTCCCTCTCACCCAAAAAGATAAAACCTAAAATCGCAGAACAATCAAATGGTATCACCGCGGAACCTAGAACCTAGATTTAACTCCTAGTGTAGCTGCACTTCATCCAGCTGGAAAAAATTCCACAGTAATCCTTGACTGCTTTCAATTCGATTAGCAGGCGTGCCATTTAGACCCCCTAAAAATACATTCGAAAATGTCAAGCCTGACTTTCGCGATGCCATGAAGAATCATAGTCTGATGTTTGGCACACTGTGGTGACCGATACTCTTTAGAAGTAGTGCCAAACACACCACTAGTCTTCAGCCTCCAGCCCATCACCTCCCATAACGATTTTCAAACCAGCCCTCGCCCCTTCAACTGTATGCTCTAGGGCCGCCACTTTAGCCAAAACACTCATTAACCTTGGGTCTGCACTCTCGACCCTGACCTTTTCCTTAACCCTAACCTCTTCACCTTTGAACATGAAGACCTCATCCATCTCATCATGCTCCAATCTTCTTTGGGCTCCTATCGCAAAAGCTATCCTGCTCCCAAAATTGACTTGTTGTGCTACAGGTTCAAGAACTCGAATGGTGAGCAGTAATGAGCCATCGGAGATTGTAAGATCGAGAGAGAGATTGGATGGTAAGGATGGGGCGAAAGTATCGGGATCAACAGGGTTGTGCGCCCAGTTCAGAGATGCGGGGGTTTGTGTGGGAGATTCGAGGAGAGAGGGACCTTTGAGGACGAGCTTGGCTTCGGTGAGGATACTATGGAGAAGATGCAATTGGGAGGATATAAAAGGCGCAGAATGACGATCACCGGTCCAGCGAGTTATGTCAACACAATCAAGACTTTGATTTAGGAGTGTGCGGAGTTGAGTGAGTGGTTCGAGGAGAAGGGGCAAAGTTGGTGACAGTGAAAACGAGGACGGTGGGAGAGATTTGAGGCGCAGGTGCAGGGTCTGAGAGGAACTATTAGCGATTGATGAAAGAGTCTAGATTTATAATTTGAGGTTCGGGGTGGGAAAGGGAAGTTAAAGATATGAAGACGCAGGTAAAAGGGGGAAGACAAACTCCTTTGACAACCTGAGTTCCAACACGTGTAATATGGCCCTTCAAATACTCGGAACGAGGTGATGACATAACAAGTGTAGACCCCGGCTCAACAGGCGCGAGAAGCGCATAACAATCTTCTAAGCCCGTTTTAAGTGAAGCCAATGTTTCCTGTAGTGATTCTAGAAGCCATGATAGCTCGCGTTCCTGGGCTGACAGTTAGTTTCCGCTTGCTGCGTAGATGAGATTGTAAGGGTAAAGTAAAGCAAGTAGATATATACCGTAGAATCGTCCTCTTCTTTCCTCAACTCATGGGCAGGTAAAGAAGGCCAGGCGGAAGTAGACATATCGATATATCGTTGATAAGAAATTAAGTGTTCTGCGGGATGATATAGATTGCTGCACTTTGGTGGAGCTATCTATCTATAGCCTATGACGTTAGTGTAGAATGGGTTCTGCCGGGCGGTGAGTGTCTCAATTTAGAACTTTGCTGTATCAATTTAATGTATCGAAATCGCAATTACAGACCCTCTATGCTGCTTCCTTACTTTACATCTAATTTTTGATACCTTATTCATCAACTTATACGTCGTAAACATTCCTCATACTTCTTTACATTCTTGCGCGCAAACTGTGAATAAACAATCGCAACCAAAACCAAAACCAAAACCAGAGCCGCATCGTGGCTGGCACAGAAATGGCTCGCACACTACCTTCACTTTCCTCTAAGGACGACAAGAAACCTAAACTGCCAAGAATAGGAAAGAGTAAGATTCTCTTGATTTCCTCGATTCTGATTGATGCTAATTTGTGTGCGCAGACCAAAGAATCCAAAAGCGACCCCTACTGCACCCCGCAATCGCGTCACCCCGCTCTTCTTCTGAGAAGGTCGTCTACGTCTCTGACAAATCGCAATTCATCGCCATCGTAAAACGAGTCCGTAAATACCTAGACGGTGCAGAGTTCCGTGCCGGGCCCACAGTTCTACCTAGTACAGACAGGGAGTTGATGAGAGAAATCGAAGAAGGCATTAAAATAAGCAGGATGGAAAGAAAATCAGGGAGTGGTAATGGCGAAGAAGTCGTAATGAAAGGAACGGGGAAAGCAATTGAGAAAACCTTGATGTTGGCGCATTGGTGGCAGCAACAAGAAGGTGTGAGAGTGGTAGTCAGGACAAAGAGTGTAGCGACTGTTGATGATATCGTGGGAATTGACAACAAGGATGACGATATGGAGGAAAGTGAGAGTAGGGTCAGGAGGGTTAGTGTGCTGGAAGTTGCCGTTTCCTACATTTGAATGGTGGATTTGATTTGACTGAATGCACATATCGGGTCCAAGAGGATGAACTATGCAGCCGAACCGAATGCTGTTGGATTATTTTGGGTTTGGAGTTTAAGTGTGGAGTTATGGCATATTACAAACAGGCGCAACGGTACGGAAGACTCGAATGGACTGGCGCTAGATACCAAAAGAAAATGTACATGATTAAAGCTTGGGATGCAATGTACGAATGAACTAAACTGTAGACTCAAGGGGCCCTGTTCCTACACTTTGATAGATTTGAGTCAAAGCTGTGTTTTGTAAAAAGGGTTGGATCATCCTACCCCGACTTTTTTCCAGTTCTTGTTTGGCTTACACTCCTTGCTTACCGACCCGGGGCTTGCTAATAGCATGCCTTCTTCTCAATGGATTGTAGCAATCAAGCGTGATTTTGCCTCATTACTCATTTTGAGGAGAAGAACAGAAATCATGCCGTTTAAGATGCACGAATAGAATGAAGCCAGCACTAGCGTGCATCGTTTGAACGACAATTTTTATTTAAATTTCTGCAAGGTTACTTTCACTTAATTATGGGAAGGTCAGATGGAAGAATAGATGTTGTTTTAATCATGCTAATGTGAGGGGATCAAGTACAAACGGGAGCAGAAATTTCGCTTTATTCACCATACTTGATACTATTTCTTAGTTTGATATTCTAAGACGCTATTTCCCTATTTTTCTTGCACCCAAGCAACGACTACGATACCCCCTCTTCGTGCTTGTCAACAAGCATCTTAAGGACAACGTTCAGTCTACAAGCGTATCCAGCCTCTTGATTGATCTCTAGTTTAGAGCCCGAAGACACCATGACTATGATCAAAGCCAGTATTATAAGCTGACTGCATCCTCCAACGCTTCTCGAATATTAGGATATTCTCCATTGCAAACAGCACGATATGCGGCGTGGATGTTCGCAACACTCTGTTTATCCTCCTCCCAAAGTTCAGAGATCGCTCGAAACCACTCCACTGTTAAGAACACATTAGCTATCGCTAAAAAGTTTAGATTGGGGAGTCATGAGGAGCTTATGTACCCATATCTGCAGTTTTGATCTTGGTTCTTGGCCCCTCTTCCACTGGGGTATCTGAATAACTACTATTTCTTTCCCTCAATTCTGCGTCCTCCTCGTCTGCTAATTTTCTAGCATGCAAGGCAATTTCGAATTTTATGCCTCGCTCATCCCGTTCGCTTATTAGCGATTCGACTAGCTCTATCAGAGCATGTGTCTCATGCATAAGCATTGGATGTTCGCGCAGGTTGATCGTTTGCCAAACGTACTCATTGAGTCGTTGGTTGACTTTTTTCACCTGTTCCTGCCACTCGCGATGCTCGATATACAGCTCAGCGAAGTCATACGAGTGACCTCCGATGGCTGCATCTCGATTCAATTGATATCTCTCCAGACCTGGGCGATCTGTCCGAAGACTGTCTGATTCGTCGAGAGTTATGTGTCTCTCATCTCTCGCGTTTATTGAGAAGTTCGTAGTCCCAGGTGTGAGTTTTTCGATCAGTAGTTGGTTTCCTGTACTTCCATGTTTAGTTCGACTTCATCTTTTCACTGAAGTTTGTGATTGCAGAGCACTAACCGAGGTCTTGAATCGGAGCTGCTTGTTTCATTCTACTATTCAGTTAGTCCAAAGACATGATAAAAACAACCAGTCGTCTGCTGTATGATGTTTGGAGACACACTTGGAATATTACATTGATTTTTTTGTAGGGAACTCTGAATTGAATATTCGTCTCAGGGACCGTTCTTCACGAGATGAAACCTTACTACGAAGTAACTTCTGCTTGCTCTTGTAGTGTTAGAACAGCGTCATTCTATGAGATATATATATGATTTTGGTACAGCTCAGAACAATGGAGATTCTTTCTAAGCGTATTTGCGCAGCTGTATCGTATTAAGGCCGTACCACGGCGAGATCGCTTGACCTTAAACACCATAGAGTTACCGAGAACACTCTCTGATTTTCCAAGGTACGGCAAAAATTAGTTCCAAACCTGAAATATTGTTATTACTAGATTTGAGTATGATTGTTTACAGGCTAGATATGACCCACTTCAAAGCCTGTCTATTCGAATTTTATTGATTTCTACGGCGAATGTTTATCGAACTTGATTTTATTCGAGCAATTCTCGTCTTCAGACAAATTACTCTTGTATTCCACCCCTGAAATTACGCGAATGGTCGTGCATGATCTCGTTTTCAACGAAAGGTTTGAATGCAACAGTTTTGAGTTCTACCAAGTCTCGGTGAGATTTAAAACATAAGAAACACAGTGGAAATCTACTCAATCCAATCATAGAAATGGAGCTTTTGCCAAGACACACGGATTTTTGCTTAAGCTCACACAATGTATGTCGAACCTCATGGTTTTGTGACGTTTAGTTTTAACACTAAGATCATATTTAACTAGAAGAATAAATGTATAATGATTAGGAAGTAGAGAAAACAAAAGTCGATGGTACAACTCAAGTTAGACAATCAGGAAGGTTATGTGAATTGAAACTAAACAATAATGGCAGATTTATATGGCTCAGATTTCGCCCATTTGAGTCCAACAACATAGCTGCATGGATCACTAGAATTCAACCACTACATGTCATGAAAATAGTAGATGATGCCTCCTCAAACTCATCTATCTCGAACGCGAAGAATCTCATCATACTTCAATCTCAAGTTGTTGAACTTTTTTGCAAATCTTCCTTTCAACTCTATGCCCTTGGTCGTAGCAGCAGATTTCTGGGATTGCGGTCTCTTAGCACTTGTCATATCAATGTCTTTATGTATCAGATTAAAGGTTTCATGCAATTCCTGTCTGAGCTTGTTGAATTCATAATCGATCAAGGTGACCGCTTCTTGATGCATTTTGGCAGATATGTTAGGGAAAATGGTGCCGCCATTGACTTGATTCGTAATAATTGATATTTGTCGTGCTTTCATGCCTTTGCCTAATCTTGAGTTACTACGGGAGGAGTTAGTCATTTGAGTAGGTGAGGGAGACTTACCTCCTTCACTGCTGGCTTTACGATAAGCTGAAATCATTTCCGCAACAACAAAGGACGAAGCATTTGGTTCTTCGACGTGCTGTCGAATTGTTCTGTATAAAAAGTTACGAAAACTGATGAAGAAGTATGGGAACAATGCAATACCTCAATCCTCTCTCAAATTCCTGTTGTATGAGGCCGAAATTGTATTCTAAGTCTTGCATGCGAAAGTTAATGCCATACTGCATTGGGCTCGATCTGCCTTGCCCTATTTCAACGTTGTCAGCTTCATGTGACGTTCATGAAAGTTCAGTTTATGATTATAATGAGCTATTCTAACCTTCGATGTGAGTCTCCAAGTTTTGAAGTTGATTTTTGACCTCTTGTAGGAGGCTCTCCATATTTATTGGGATCTTTTCTTCAAGAAGATTCCATCTCATTTTTAACTCCATTCTCATCCTTTCGAGAATTTCCGCGTTCCAATTTCTATAACCCCGTGCAACAGTGGTGTGCTCTCCGTTATTTCTACACCACGCGTTGTATGATTCTATTGAAATCAAAACACATTAGTCGTCTTTTGGGATTTTCACAATCTAAGAGATCATACGGTGATGCCACTATCCTTCGTTAGATTGTTTTCAAAAGAGCATTCAATTGCTTACTTCAGCCCATTCTTCTGCCCTCTTATTTGCAGTAACTTCCCACTTTATACTTTCCCTATCTTTTTGAATTCTTTTTAGTACAGTGATTACACCAACAGGCAAACAGTAACCCACTAAAGAAACGAATCATGTCATTTTGTAAAGCATTTCGAAATTCCCAATTATATTTCGTAATTGACGCAGTCGCCTACTGATAATTAGAGAAATGGCACATACAAGATTTCTTGTGCTATTTTTATCACTTACTTCTTTTCTGGAATGCTCATAGTAGTCTAATACTAACGTCCCTGTACCATCATCCTGCCCTTGAGAGACTTCTTGAATGGAATCCAACCATAGCGTAATAGAATTCAATAGACTTGGTAGCCTTGACCGCATGAAATGCAGTGCCTGTAGAAGTTGGGCACTAGCAGTTATCTTCCGACAGAAGCGACGAAGCTCCGGAATACCGCTCTTTTGGATCATTTCATTGTCACCTTTCTCTACATAGTCCTCATATGTCGTATTTGAGATACAAAAAACATCTAAATGCCCGTTGATAGTCTTTTGTCGATACGCGGTTTGAAGTCCTTTGGTAACGTGCCGGTTCCGAGCTTCGATAAAAAGCCACAACTTTCTATTGATTGTTAGAAATAAGTGCCATCTTCTAATGGGAGAGCAAGCCTTACTTTCGTTCGAGGTGCTCTTTCAGGCTTTTGTCACCCTTGCGCTTCGCGTTCTCGATATCTTTGTCAATCGAATTCATGTCAATCAAAGATATCTCTTTTCCATTACCAACGAAAGTCCTCTTTGCCGTTTTTGGGTTGATATCCTATGGAGAATAAGTTGCCATAAGAATTTACAGCTCCACATAAGAACATACCTCTGATCTTGTACATATAACAGCTAATTTGAAATTGATATTGGTGCCTCCCGACTCCTCCCATGCAAGCGGGACATGGCGTTTAAGTTCACTATATAATGCTGACTTTAGGGTTGTATCGGTAATTGCTCTGGAAATTTTGGTTGCGATGAAGACATGATCACAACTCTGCAAGTACTTCTGTGTTGCTCGAACACGCGCTAAATTGGTATCTTGTAAACCTATAGGGATTCGTCAGCCAGTCGCAGCAATTCATAACACTAGTTATACCTGGCAGATCGGCGAGGACAACGCCTGTTTTCAGCACTTCAGCGTCAAGGTAGACGCGAATTATCTTAGTGAATGGCCAAAGCTTATCCTCCATGAAGACACTGGTTAGCTCTTGACATTCATCAGAAGTATGCGCAATAGCTGTCCATAAACCTGACTCATCATCTGCAGGAAAGTCTATTTTATGCATCCACTCTAATAGTTGGCTCTTGATCCTTTCGAATGCACCTTTCGACTTGTCGCTCACGAAATTGACATCGAACTCTTCTTGTTCGCTAAACACTGCCTCAAGAGCCGACCATGCCACTGCGGATTCTCTTTCGATACGTTGCTGTTCATCAGAATCAAGCGCATTACCTTCGTTGTCTGAATCTGGGAAAAACAGCTGTCGATAACTCCACAACAACTCTTCTACCATCTCTTGACGCTCTGGTTTGGAAAGATACTCTACCTCGATTGAAAACGGCTCGAGCGCACTATTTTTCCTTTGCCTGTACTCTGTGACAACGGAAGTACAAGCAGAACCTTCATCACTCTGAGGTATTGATTAATATTTACTCAATATAAGTGGTCTGAAGTGAACTCACAGTCCTAGCTAGCTCTGTCATATGTAGAAGCGAGTTAATTAGACTACTCTTTCCTGTAACGAAGTCAGCGCTTGATCCATCATACTATAGAATCAGAAGAAATATCTAGGCTTACCCTCTCCCGATGCACCTAGTATAGCAATGGTTCTAGTACTCGATATATCGCCTTTGCTCAGTCCTTTTGAATCATTCAATAGCCTTCGAAAATTCACATCTTCTTCAAAGACTTTCTCCAATTTTTCCAGTTCATTAGCCACTTGAACTGCAATATTGTAGCTTCTTCCAAGAATGGTCTGAAATTCCTCGGTGAAATAAGGTTCGACTGGTGCCTCTTCATCTTCAACGGCGTATTTCGCGTCTTCGTTTGACGATTCGCTATCAGCAAATGAATCTTCGGATGATCTTCGGGAGTGGCTGATTTGCGAGCTGGAACTACCCCGCACTTCAATGCCATCAGAGGAAAATTTATAGTGAGAATCTTTCACAACTTCGGGGAGATTTTCTGAGCCATCGCTGGTTGTGATTTTTTCTTCTGTTTCTAGTGCATGTAGAGGCTGAGGTAATTCATGATCTGGTGTCACGACTGTCTTTAAATCTCCGTTTCGAGTTGGTGTATCTTGACTTTCTTCTCTCTCCAAAGGTTTAGGGGTTGACTTTATAGCGCTTTCTGCAAGAACTCTTGATACAACCGAAGTTGTGACAGATACGGAGTCAATCTGTGACTTCGGGCTGTTGCTGCTTTCAATCCGATGGTTTGCAGCTGTGGGCTCGTCTCTTGAGCTCTCTGGTGTTGCAGCACCTTGGTCCGCCTCACCACTAGAAGAAGATCTGGGGTCCGAACTTTGCCTGATTTTTGACGTCTGTCTACTTCGTGATCTACTGGGAAGAGGTAAAATCTTACGTGGAGAGAGAGTGCTCGGTGAATTGGAAGATGACATTGTTGCTTCTAACAATCACGATAATAATGCGAGGAAAAAGAAGAAGGGCATCAGATGGAAGCAGCAGCCTCACATGGTTAAAGAAAAGGTTAAAGATGCGTACCATGTGCCTCGTTCTGCACCAGTTTCAACAATGCAGCTTTGGAATATTCTAGCCAATGAAACCAACGAAAAGTGGCTTACCCCTCCCATTGACGAGGCAGACCGCCGTTGGATGATACAATACCAGGGTCTATAATTAGAACAAACTGTTGGTATTTGAAGCTACGCGAAGTTGTTGAAAAATTATTTGCCATGATGTTCTGATACTTTAAGATGAAGCCATATGAGCCTTCACCACGCCAGAAGTCCCCAGAACCACTGAGGCCTTTTCAATTTATCTTTAATCTATCACCAGAATATGCAGCAAGGAAATACAGGCGATTCGTTCGAATCTTTTGCTTTAACTCGGAAGTTCTCTCTGAGGCTCAATCGTTAGCGGTCTTAGGCACAAGGCGAACACAACTACCCGCCTTTGCAGACAGCCTTGTAAACAATAGTTTGCCTGATGTCTTCTTCCAATTTGGTGTTGATCACTGTTATTAGTGATGCACAACACATTCAAATTAAAACCAATTTTTAGAGCATTAATCAAGTGTTTCAAATCTACTAAATATAAACGCAGGTCTAAAAAGCCGGGTTATCCTACATTTCAGCAGAGGATATATATTACACCGAAAGCAACAACTTCCCAACTATGTTCTTGTTCCCAGTTTGATATGCAGAGAGAATTTGACCAATATAGAGAAAAAAATAGAAAAATACACAGTAAGCATCGTCCAAGGCCTCACATTCTTTTCGCAGATAACTACGGGCGCAATTTCGCGGCTTCTACATCGCCCTTAAAATGTTCTTCGGTCTTGAAGTTTGCTTCTACTCCCCCAGACTGCGCCCCCGTTGAAACCTTTGAAGCTGCAATTGATATCTGATCCATTTTATAGTATTGCTTCGCACTTCGAGCCCCTTTCGCTGAAGATCCTGTGTTCTTGGAACGGGACTGGAGTGAGAAAAGACTTCGAGTCATTGAAATTAGTTTCCCAAAGCGTTTTGTGATCCCGGAGCTGACTTTTGGGAGGCAGGCAGCAACAAGTGCCAATCCAGTTTCAATCATACCCCAGTAAGGTGCAGTAGCAACAGTCACTATTTTCAGTCAGTTTGCTTCTTATGCCAATGCAACAGAGCCAGGCATGCAATCTTCATCCTTGGTGTAATCGAATCCTCGTGAGGTAATGGCCATTATCACTGCCAGTCTCACAATTGAGGCCGGCATTGGACTGTGAGATATTAGACATTGGTCTTCGCCAATCTCTTCTGTCACAAGTTCACTTACATTCCTCCTAATAAGAAGACTCCGGCCAGACCGACTGTCTTCAAGTCTGACAAGTGTAAACGGAATATCTGGAGACTTTAACAAATCAAATGACAATGAAGAAAACACTCAATTAGAAGAAGAAGAAAAGACGTCATACCATTGGTAGCGGCATGATAAGTAGAAAATTTTCGATCAAAAAGTCGCTGATCACAATTGCCTGCTCCCCGCCAAATCCCTGATTACAGTATTTCAAAAGATCAAGTTGGGAGCTTCATGGGGCAAAGAAATGGAGTCTGCAATTGAAGACAAAATCAAGCGAAAATCCCAAGGTCCAGCATATCAAGATGAAGTATGCCATTAAGGTGGTTATGCCATTAAGGTGGTTATGCCATTAAGGTGGTTATGCCGAAAGTGGATTTGTTCGAGTGAACAAATGTTCGACGGTAAAGAGCCACAATGCTTAAATTGATAAGATCTTGCGCACTTATTATTGGCAGATGGAAGATGAATTGGATCTGCCAGCGCATATTCCGTCAGCACGAACACACTGCTCTGAATTATAACAAGTGCTAACGTTATGAACTCACCTTCTGAGTGATCGTAATCTGTGGCAGTTCCTGGGATAAAATGGCCTCTGGAGTTAGGCCTGGAGGAGTAGGAGTCGGATAAGCTAGAGCATACTTCTTTACCCCTAAAATTGTATGGTCAGAGTTCATTCTTTGTGAGTGCAGGTATAGGAAGAGCGTACCGATGATAAGAAAGATGCACATTCCAGTCACAATAACCTTCACATCAATGCCTTGTTCAGTATTTTGTCCCTGCATTTTAAAACAGTCGCCTTGAATGAACTTACAAGAGATGCAGCTTGTGTTTCGAGTATGAAGTCTTGCTGCGACAGCGAGGATGGCCAATGAGGGGAGTACAGATCCCACAGTAATAATTTCTCCTGCATTAGCATGCAGATGAAAAATTCCTGTGTGTGTTGGAGCCGCCATACTGCAATAATTGGAGAATCAAGGTAATGGAGAAAACCTACTTGGAAGAAAATGGTGATTAAGACCTCCGCATGACCCCCCTCCCTCCCTTTAACTGACAGGCTCCTCTCGCCTGAGAAATAAATCCTAAACTGATAAGGAAAACGGATTCTTCGAAAGCGGTGATGCATTGAATCTCTTGGACGATTTGACAGGAGCCATTTGAGATTCTGTGTTTACACCCTACAATAAATGATCTTGTGTCAGATTACACGATAGCACTCCTTCTCTTATTCGCCTAAGTGATGTTTACTGCTAAGAGTTTCAACTATCTGGTCCGCGTAGGGAGAATCTGCAGGGCAATAAGAGAAGCGCTCATTGATGTCCTCAATAGATGGGATTTTGTTCCAACATGATGTAAAGGTCTTGGACCATTCGTCCAAAAGATCCCAGTCACGACAACATACGGATCTGCCGGTGATACGATGTCCATAGCCAGACCATCAGGTGTATCGTCCGCATTAAATTTAATGCCTTGTCTGAGAGCATCAAGACAGTGAGTGACATGCGCAAATATGCCACTTCGTTCTTCCCCACGGTGGAACTCCAGCAAAGAAATCCTAAGTTTCAACTATTTCTGTTTAGTATCGATATTCCTTATAAACTTGCAATGATTCTATATACCAGGCAACTCAGATTATGATTTGCATTTATGAGATAGACACCTTTTGAATTATCCCATGGAAATCTTTGAGCTTTACGAAGACCCTTCTCTGCAACACAAGAATCAGGAAGGGCAATTACACCAAGACGTATTTTACCAATTTTTTCCCATTCTTTGTCGGTAGCTTTAGGGTCACTTCGGTTATCGAAAGGACTGTAGACTGGCCAAGGAACAGGTATATCACGCTTGAGACCAGCTGGCACCAGATTAGTCTTCGTCACCAAGAATACAGTGGCTCGACTCACTAAATTCAGTCCGTTCGAGCCTTTCTAGTTTATTCATGAGTCTGAAAGATTGAATGCCTAGAATTACACAATTCAAAACCCAAAAAGCGTACATCCAGCTAATAATATTGTGCTCCTTGATTTCCGTGTTGTCTTGGGTGATGAATGATCAAAGTTCTGAGATTCATGTTCGCTTCCTGTATCGTCTTCAAGAAGTGCGTATTTTTGCTCCAGATTCGACATTTTGTTGGTGGAAGAAAACTAGCAGCACAGTTAGAAATTAACAGGAGTGTCTAGATAGTAATTAGTACTGATAAAGAACATAGTCAGCTTGCCGTTGGGTATCTCAGGCCGGAGAAAATATCTTCAACAGTGAACAAACCACCTGTCAGCCAGGCAGCTATTTTCTCGAATGAAAAACGAAGATTAGATTTTTAGCCTAGACTTGCATGTTTAGACTTCAGTGCCGATAACGAGGTCGCATTCGGAGTATTTCCTCGCTGAATTCAATGTGGGAGTATCGAGACCCTTGGGGCTGAAAACCATTCAGAATTGTTCCACCCCTCACTGCTGGGAATTTTATCATGAGAATATGTGACGCAAAAATAGAGGACATTTAGATAACAAACACATCTTCATCAAAAAGCTCCTCATTAAGTTGCCTTGATAGTGGCGTTGGACAGAGTAGTATCATACTTTATCACCTACAATTTCTGTGCAGCTCCGACTGTACAGTGCAGCAGACGACTGTGTTGGGGGCTTTATTGCACCGCATGAAGGCAGGCAAGTTATTGAACCATGAGATTTGATCTTCAAATGGATTCAATGATTTCGTGTAAGCTGGTAAATGGAAGTTTATATACACACTCTCCTGTTTGGAGGGGCAATCAAGGATTAAGATCAACTCTAAGCCAAGTCTGCCTATACCAACACATGAATGTTGCTCTGTGATATTGCCACACCCATCAAACACTCTGAAGCATTCAAGATTGTTTCTCGCTTTGCTCCTTGAACTTTCCACTCCAGAATGTGTTTCTTTCTTTCTTTCTTACAGCATTTGCTCACCCCCTCACATTTAGAAGCCAAACACCACATTCTCTTTTAAACTACTATGAACGATGTGGAATCTCATCAATATAACATCATGGATGACAGGGCTTGCTGCTTTGTGGTTCAGCGTACGGGCGATATATCGTCGCTTTTCCTATCGTAATGCGATGCTGGCGAATGGATGCTCTACTCCTAAGAAATATGCTCATAAAGATCCCTTTTTCGGCATCGACATGTTTGTTGCATTGGCGAAGGCCAAGTAAAGTGGAAGCATGCTTGTGACAACTTAAGGACTCTTCACTACACACGGCAAAACATTTCAATCCAACTCTTGGGGAACAACAGTCGTTAACACCATGGATCCCGTGGTGATCCAACAGTTCTAGCTAGCAGCTCGGAAAAGTTTGGCGTTGCACCATCCCGGATACCGGTGGGAGAACCTTTGATTCAAGACGGTATTTTCACCGCGGACGGACAATCATGAGCTTATCACAGAAGCGTCGCGAAGCAAATATTCTCTGGGGTCAGATTCTCCGTCATCCCATCACTTGATAAGCATGTGAATCGTTTGCTGGAATTGATACCCCGAGATGGTTCAACCATTGATCTACAACCACTTTTGAAAAGAATGGTAACCATTGATACTTGGATTCAAAGGATCATTTGCTGAAATAATGATTTGTGATGTAGTTTTTAGCGGAATAACTGAATTCCTCTTCGAGGTATCGCAAGACTCCCTGCTTGCTGGAACAAAGGATGATTCTACGGAAGATTTTATCTCGATATTCGATAAATCTTTGATAGGTCTACATACTCGCATGTTTCTTGGCAGTTTGGTTTTCATTCGTGGGCGTGACACAATTGAGAAAAGACATATCTTTTGTCCATGCTTACATTAACAGGTACGTTGAAATGGCTATCAACAGGCAGCGGTCATCGGAGAAAACCGTTGAAAGAATCTCGCCAGCCAGGTATGTGTATCTGGATGAGCTTGTCGAGAAAACAAAGGATAAAACGGAACTTCGAAATCAAATGTTGAACCTATTCCTTCCAGCTCGTGATTCAACTTCTAGTGCAACAGGATTCATATACTTTCATTTGGCCTTTCACCCGGATGTCTGGATAAAGTTGCGCGAGGAAGTTATCAGCATAGATGATGCACCCATAACATTCGACCTGCTGAAGTCGATGAAGTTACCTTAAGTTCGTAGTCAATGAAAGTTAGTATAGCATACCCTTTATACTCGTAACAATACACTAAGGGTGTAGGTCTTCGTCTTCTTGCTCCAGCAGGTCTCAGTATACGAACATGTGTTGAAGATTGTGTACTTCCAAGAGGAGGTAGACCAGATGGTAAAAGGTCCATCCTTGTTCGTCCAGGTACGGAAATTAGAATAGTGTTTCACGCACTACATAGAGATCGAGATATCTGGGGAGAAGATGAGATGGAGTTTCGTCCTGAGAGATGGGAAAACTTTCGAACAACATGGGAATATATACCTTTTCTTGGGGGTAGTAGGATTTGTCCAGCGCAACAGATGGCCTTGACCGAAGTTTATTATTTCGTGGTTCGATTCATGCAAGAATTCAAATTCATGGAGAACAGGGATCCTGAGAAGAAGTTTGTTCCAGGCATGAAGTTATCTATGGAGAGTAAAAATGGTGTGAAAGTAGGATTTGGGGTAGCATGATGTGATTGTTTTAGAGATTATTCGAATTTTGGCCTAAAATTGTTGTAGGACGATCCATACTCAGGAATGCCGCACTTGTGGCTCAAAGAAAAGGAAGCTCTCGGCTCCTTTAATGCTGTAATACATTTGTGCCTTGGATTTATGTTTAAAATCTCTTACGGGGGAGAGCAAGTTCGATAATTTATTGATGTGACATATCTGGATAATATAGCATATGTAAGTAGACACAAAGGGGCAAGTTCTTGTTGGCACCTTGAAGAAAACTCAGCGCTACTTTTAAGTTTCAAGAGCAGATCGCCATTCAGTTTCGGATGACATAAATTGGAAGAACCAAAAGAAGTCTGATATGCAGTCTAAGATTTTGGATTATGATTACTAGAAATGCTAGTAACAGCCTCTTTGATTCATTGGAAACGAGAATGTCTCGCAAGTAAAATACTATCCCTTCCTTCAGCCTTGCGAAGAGTAGTACCTGCGCAAGATTTTACAGGTAGATATTTCCGCAAATCCTCACTGCTATAACTTCTAGCTGACCCCACTTTGGTTCTCTCTGCACGATACCTCCCTTGACAACATGCCCATTATAGCACGCCTTCCAGAAATTAGGAGCTACTTGCAGGAGGCTTGATGCCAAGTGCACGATACATATTCTCTTGCTTCTTGAGAGTGCTCGTAGACTTTAGAGACGCATCAGCATGTAAATTATCATGTGCCGGTTGTCTTGACTCGTTTTCATCGCTTCCAACGCCTTTGACGGCATGCTTAATAGCATCCACCCTCGTCAAGATCCCTTCGATATTCTTAATTTTCTGCTCCATCTTGTCAAGACGAAGATTGAGGTCATTGATGTTGGCTTCTTGATTTTTGATGATAATAGTGAGATCTTCCGTCGGTGTGGTGTTCTTTAAGGTAGCACGCTTGGAGACAGTGGGACGATTCGAAATGGAGAATCTTGTTGTGCCAGAATTTCTACTGTGATGGGCGAGTTAGCACAAGGATAATTCAGTGATAAAGATTAGAAACTAACCCGACTCCTCTGTTAGACATGATGACTTTTTGTGGTAGGTTGATATGGTTATACAGATTTATGATCGCTCGTCAGTTGAGGACTTCTTTTAAGATTCTTTTCATATGAAAGAGAGGATGGCCTGAGCGAAGGCAAGCTGTTTATCTTATGCCAGATCTCGAAGCAAGGAGCGTTGGTAAGGAAAAATTCGAATCAATATTCTTGGAAAAAAAAGTGATTGAATCCACCGTACCGTCAAAGGCTGAATTGATTCACTATTTCAGTTTCCGCACTTATGAAGAAGTATTTTCTCGCACAGGAGACAGAGGATGTTTTTGACAATTTTCATATATTTATGATACAGAAGAAGTGTTCTCGAGCACTTTATCCTTCAATCAGTAATACGATAGTTGATATGGCTTTTTGTATGTAGGGCAACATACCAAATAGAGATATTCACTGTGTCGACGTCTGTCGACATCAACTTATTCGAACCTTCACTTGTTGAAGAGCCGTGTACCCTCTACTTTGATCTTCTCTTGTAGAATCTGAGTCTTTCCGATAATTTTTTGGTTGGCGTCCTACGTGACAAATCTGCCTGATCTAGATTGTGAATCAATCCTTCATTATTGTTTAAGACCTCTATACAGTGTTTTCAATATTCCAGGCTCGTTTGACCTTCTAATCTGTATTCACTGACTTACGATATGAAAAATTTGCCAGATTTGTCAGAATAGATTTCTCCAAGCAACGGGCATTTGATCTAATCCGTCTGTTCCTTGATCAGAGCAAGATATGCGCTCGAAATCATTATCATTATCATTCAGAACTCTTCGAGACTCCAACCCACAGAAGCAACCTGTCAAGATTGTGGGTCTCAACAATTAAGCGAGTCAATACGGAAATGATGACTGAAAAAGAGAAGAATAGCCAAAAATATTGGTGAAGATGAGCGTTCAATGAATGCTTAGAAGAATGGGAAAGGAGGAGAGGATCCATGGGTGGCGGTGTCGAGAGTCACTGCTCTATTTCGTATGTCCAGTCGATTGTGGAGAAATAATAGTGAAGAATGATTTTGTGAATATATTGTACAAGTAAACAAATGTAAAAGGAATGGGTGGTGCTTAGTATGGTGAGGAAGAGGATGTCTTTCAAGAAAACCGAAGGCCTGGGGTATGGTTGACCCGTGAGTGGCCGACGGAAGGACAGCAAGCAATTTCTTTAAGGTGTCTTTTTGATCCGTTGATGTGCGAACAACTTGCCAATTCGGCTAGGTGTTCGATTTCGTTTTGGTGTAGGAACTGGTAACTAATTTCAATACATATACTTAAGCGACTAACCTGCTCGTCCTACGCACAAGCCATATCTTTATGACGGATTCAATCATCGTTAATAATGCTATTGATAAAAGTACTCAACTTCATAGCTCAAATCATTTGATCTCGCGGGCCGATACAATAGCATATGATCTGGCCGTGTTACGGGCGGCCTTATAGTATGTAAATTTATTGCATGAATGATAAAAAGTTAAATCAGCTTTCTTTCATACATTCAAACTGATTTTGCTGAACTGACTGAGGCCCGTTGCAGAGAATTTCAGTCTTTCGACTTCCGTCTTTTCAACAAACACGTTATGTTATACTTTTCAAGGAGAGTTAAACTGATATCAGACCTGAATCAATAACTCTCATCTCCTGTCCCTCTCCCTGAGTGTCCCATGAATTTTTCTGTAGAGTCTTGTTTTACTTTGATCAATTTCAACACTGATTCCCGTTGATTCGAGCTTTATCTTCAAGGGATTCTTAAATTAGAGTGACGCCAATTGGCATTGATTATGGACATCCATCTTGTTTTATATACAAACACGTTCTAGGGCTGCGTTGGTAGTCGCATATCTTGGATGGCTGTTTGTGTTATTTTGTTCAGCAGTGGCAGCAAGACGTCACTTTCAGAGCCATGAACATAGCAATTTATCTTTCATACTAGGACCTATGGAATATATGACTTTCTATGTCAAGTAATTTGAGAAGAGAATCTATTCAAACAATTCAACATTATTTTACACTTTAATGAGAAATTTCCCTGCGTAGGCCAAGGAGGCATTAGCAGATATCTCTCAGAAGTTCGAAGACGAGAGGGGTAACATTGCGAGGACTAATTTGAGCGGCAGTGAGCATTGGTCGGAATTCAATAGGCATATAGATATTGGTATGGGGAATTTATGAACAGATTATCGCTGCGGTGGGACAAAAACTCACTTGATTTGAACTAAGTGACACCCAAGACTGAGCGAGACTCTTCCGCATGAATTCGGAGCGTTTTAACAAATTGCATGATTGTATTTTGAAATCAAGGAGCCAATGTTTGCAAACCTATCAGATGGTACTAAAAGATCTAACTGCCTTTCCCTTTCAAATAGTTCCCTCAGGAGAACATCCAGCATTCGAAAGCATAACGCTCTACAACGATACGTAAATAGTTACTTTTGATTGTCGGGCTTCGTAAAAGAAGCCTACTCAATTAGTATTGACAACCAACTTTTAAAGGACTGTGGTTCAGCTTCCCTGGAGTACTATATGTAAAGCGACTAATGGTAGTCTCGACGTTGGCTGATTCTTCAAACCAACCAGTTAAGATAGAGAAGACTCTCTCTTAAAGTATCATTCTTCTTCGCAATTATCTTTAATCAGTCGTATGTGATGTCTAGCTTACTACGCATGGTGTAATAGTTGAATAGGTTGTGATCTTCATTGAACTGCATGAAAAACCGGAAAGAGCCTTCTTCCTGATGGGGCCAATCTATGATTTTTGGATTCCATCTAAAGTGCAATAAATGAACTCAAATTATAAAGAGTTTGGAGTTGAGAGGGCTCTCATCGTGGATATATGCAACATGTTGGAGCAAATAAGCTCCTTGGAAGCTTATGAAATGAAAGCTGCGTTGACTCACATTACTAGATGATCGATGCACCAAGTAGTCAGGTGCTAGTGTTTATATACTGAAAAAGTCCTTTCCTTTCGTGCGCCATTACGGGTCTGTCACCGTGGCCCAACGGTCATTCTGACATCGACAAATCCTCCGGTATCTCGTTGACGAGGTCACCGTCGAAGGTCTCTTCTCTCCCTCTGAATTATAACTTCTTCTTCTTCACCACTCTTTTGCCAATTTATTTTTTATACATTTTTCTATGCCCAAATGGGACGTTACATGTGGTTGAGTATTTTCTGCTTTTTCCCCCTGGGTTAGGTAATCGACAGGTGTAATAGTCAGGAACTAGTCGGCCGCTTATGAAAGCCGAATATTAGTGAATTGGATGGTCGTGAATTCTTATCGATACTTCGCCTAGAAACGTTTCAATTTGAGAGAAACGTACCAAAGAAGATCGACGGCAATTTTGATAGACCATTGAAGACAAAGCAACAGCAACACAGTAATTACTCTGGTCAGCCTCGACGGAAAAAGTTCAGAAGATGTGCAAGTTCTCTAAAACTTGCGTTAGATGTCGTTGGAGAGCTAATTATTAGTCAGAAACTCGTTTTGTCGGCTAATACTCGGATTGGAGTTTTAATAGTGGGTCTTTGTGATATAGCGACATTAGACGATTCGTTAAATTTGATTTCATTCGACTTCATTCAAAATTATTCTTCAACATCTCAATACAGCAAAATCCAAAGGAGAAAAGATCTGAGAGAATTGTTTGAAGTTACTAGTTCGGGGTAGAATAGCACAATCTAATACTGCCAAGGTTATTTGCATCTAATGCATTACTAGGGCTGTTTCGCCCACAATTTTCTTTTTCATACATGCATTGAATCTTCCTTCGAAAGATGGATATTCATCGTTTTGACAAAGATTTACGCTAGAAGATGAAAAATATCACTTGGCATGAACGTATTTAATATGTAATAGTTGGTAAATAAGCATCGAGATTGATGTACTGATCAATAAACTGTTATGCAGCTTGACATGACAGAAATTGCATCCATCATATGAAATAACCGATCCCCTTATAGAAGCCACTGATTTAACCTCCTTTTTTGGCCAGCCGAAATACACCTACTATTCCCAGATTAAGAACCAAATGTATCCTAGAGCCCACTCTTCACTTCATCCGCAAACTGAACATCAATAATCTTGAGTTGGCGCTTCTTCTGCTCAATCGCATGGCCAAGCTCAACTCTCTGTGCTCTAATAGCACGAACCTGAATCTCATCTTTCAGATCAAGCCCTTCTTTCTTAAACATTGACTTCAATCTGTCCGATGCAACCTCTACATCTGCATTCAAAGCAATCTCCCGAGCAAGTCGACTACGGAACTTCTCTAGCATCGACAAGCTCTTTTGTCCTCCTATCATTCTCGTAAGTCGAATCGCATCTTGTAGCATAAGTTCGACGATGACGATAGGCATATCAATGCAACGGCCGCGGCGAAAGACGCAGTGTCTAATCTGTCGCACCTTCTTGAGAAGTGTCAAGAAGGTCTCTGCAGTTTCTCCGCCAACGAGTTGTAGAGTGTTGTCTTTTATCTCAGCCGAAGATTTGAACATCTCGTGGTACAGCTCCAAAGAACCATTTTTGCGATTATCACATCCTTCCTTAGCTACCAACTTACGATGATGTTTTCGCAACCAAGAAATGCATGAGGTTATAAGAATATCTTTAGTCTCCTTAAGTATGAATTGCTCCAATCCAAGATTTTCCATTGGGGTCTTATCATTGACAGGTATGTTGTAGTCGCGGAGGTTGCAATTCTTAATCTGAGGAGGAGGGTATGGTGCATCGGAATCCCATTCGGAAGTGGAAGTCCAGTCGGAATTGGATTCGTCTTTGTTTAGTTAGCAAATTTCCATCAGTGTGGCGCAAAAGTCATGTTCAAATTAGATTGCATACTTGCTGCATCTTGCTCTGCGCCTTCGCGACCTGGAGCTTCCCAGAATCCAAAAGCACGCTGGACTCCATACATTCTTCGATCACGATTGTAAAATCCTTGACGATGCTTTCGTTCTCTCTTTTTCTTGGCTGGTTGACTTTCGGTCGTGTTTTTGTCCTTTGGTTCTTCGCCCATCATTACTGACGGTCCAGATGATGCTTGGTCGAGGTTGGCGTCTTTGACTTGACTGACATCAGCCTATGGCTTCTTGGTTGAAGACGAGCTCATACCGTTGAAAGAAATCTTGACTATTGTGTCGATTGTACTGTGAAGTGTTTGTGGTGGGATTATCGATGATTGGCAGGAGCTTATGACATGTACGCTACGGCAGCTGAAGCTCGGCCTTTTGTTTGAGTCTTTGTCTTTCTCGAATTTCTGTCAGTGAATACGAGAAGACTGTATGGTTTCCAAAGGATCTTTCTAACAGAACCTTGGTATAGAGGTGCTACCCCGCTCTAGTGAATACCTTCCAATTAATACCTGGAATTTCCACTTCGTTCCCCAGGCAAGAGCTTTAAAAGTTGATCTGTCATCCTTTGCTAAAGTTGAGCAAGAATTCCGAGATCATGGCACCCTAGCATGTACAACTACTTGTCTGTAGTGGCAGAACAAGTATAAATCCACCTTTCCTCGATCACAATTTCTCCACCACTTCACTCAGCAAACACGACTCTTTCATACGATATAGAAAGCTATTACTTTCCTCACAAGAACGCATCAAACATTGAAGTAGAAAGCTAAAGTAAACGGGAATTAATTTCTTTTCGTTAATATCTATACTTCATCACCTGCTCGCTTCTCTCTTTCCTCCACCAATTTCCACTTCGCTAGCACTACTACATCCTCAAATAGACCCAAGGAAGCCCCCATTCATTCCTTTCTTCTTCCTTCTCTCCTCTTTCAGTCATAGAATTCGGCGTCACTCCCACGTTGCATGTAGTCTTTCAGTCACCTCGTCTTCACCCTGTATGCCATTGTGCCGCCCATTCGGCTCCACAACTTCACAACTTCACAACTTCACCACTTTTTCTTCTGCATGACGCCCTCGTTCCTCGCCCAGACACACAATCCCAAATCATGAGCACCCAAATACCGCCTGAAAGAAGAGAAAATCGCGGGAAACCTTTCCGGAAGATCGGAGTCGCTCAGAGAACACAACCACAAACCCTTCCCCAATCAAGCCCATCTCTCGAATTAGACCCTCTTTGCATCGGAATAGAAGTCTGAAAAGGAAAGTAAAACGTAAGAGATATTATATTCATACAAGCCATAAAGAAACCGTAGTTGACGAGAAAGTTTCCGAAAAAGATATTCGATTCTATGTACAAATTTCTCGTTACCCATCCACACTATCTCCGCATTTTGGGTATCCATAAAAGCAGAGCAGTTACTAATCGCTACAGTTGGTATACAAAACTTCGTTACTTTCTTTCTAACCCCATACCCTGTCACCCCCGCACTCCCCCCAGGTCACTACTGCCTTTGTACTTTGAATCTGATCAGTCAACCAGCTAAGCACAATTATTTTGAGACCGTGTTCTTTTGGCCCACTGTTCCATTACCCAAATCTACTTTGAATTCCACCAAATTAACAGTATTACCGCCTCCCATCGAAACATTCATTGCAGATAAGTTCTCGGAGCTTTGTTGATTAAAAAACTTTTGCAATTCTCCTTGTGCGGATACTGCATTATCCAAGTTTTCTTGCTGCAAAACAAAAAGGACTGTGACTCTTGCAAAATCTAGCACCTCCTCGGTAACAGTGAAGACGGCTGTTGGGTCAATAGTGGAGGTTGTCAAAGTTACAGATGCAGTTTCTGTTGTGGTTGGAGAGGAAGTTGTTGAAGGTGAGGCAACAGATGTCGATGCTGCTGAGACAGTTTGAGTAGCCTGAGACTGAGAGGAAGTAGGTGTTGCCTGAGTAGTGGAAGAGTCTACTGAGATGATATTTGTTGAGATGAAAGTTGAGTCTGGACTTGCAATTGCTCGAATCTCAACATCTATGGGGTCCGGCTGCACGTCCTTCTCCACCTTCTTGCCCGTGGTAGAGGTCACTTTAGCACTCGCATCTCCCATTCTTTCATCACTACCATCAAAAGTGACTAGGGAATTTTCCGACGCACAACTCAAATTTCCTTTGTTGAATCTTGCTAGAATTGTGTTCTCAAACAAGGGGATCGAAAAGTTTGTTTGAGCGGCCGAAATGAGTCGGGGTATAGAGTCGCCAATGGTAGTGTTTGCGGTAGTGCTTGATGACGTTGTTGTGCAGCCCGAAGATCCCGAGACTGCGCATGTGCTACCTGTAAATCCATTTATGCATAAACAAGTACAAATACCATTGTCGACGAAAGAGGTTCCACCATTCTTACAGGAAGTCGAAGTGTTTGCAGTGCAGCTTTGTACAGTAGTTGCGGTTGCAGTGGTACTTGTGGAGGGTTTGTCAATTACGAGAAATTTAAGAGGTACGACGACGGCGGCCGCAATTATTATGAGTAGAATTATTAAAACGACAATGAACCCCCAGCAAGGTAGACCACAACACTTTCTTTGTTTCTTTCCAGGTGCGGCAGATTTCGGATCGTTTGGATCGTATTCTGGCCACATCGATAAAGGTCGTGGAGCATCGCGGGCAGGCGTCTCACGACCGGGAGGTGGAAAAGCTGATAACATTCCGGAGAGGGTGGAACCTCGTCTATCATAGTTAGGAGAAACTAAGATATGTTAGAGCTTGTATTATAATAGGGACATGACCAGCACTTACGTTCAATTTCTTTCTCGCTGGGAAAGTCTCTGTCACTTGGAAAATCATCAAGACCCATTCGGCTTCCTGGTCTTTTACCGCGATCCATCAATGACGCTAATCTTGTTGCTCTCCTAATTAGATCCGGTAAACTTGTCAAACTACCTCTTGCCTCTGCCTCCCTTACCGCATCAATATTGAGACGCGGTGGTCGACGGATTGCTGATAGCCTGCTAAAAGGTCCTCCCTCGTTTGCAAAGGGCGACTTAGTCCTAATCGAGTCACTAGGTAATGCACTTGCTGCTTGATATGCCCCGAGCATGGCGCTTGCACCCGGGCTCTTTGTTCCATCTCGTGAAGGCAGGTCAGTCGTTACGGCCATAGCGACGGTTGGAACTGATTCGTCAGAGCTTGATGGGGTAGGGTCAATAAGGCCAGTGCCACCAGCTAAAGGTGAATTCGGATTTCCTAGAATTGGCCATTGTGTTGATCTTTGTGCTTCCGCGGGACTGAGAGTCGATTTTTGTAATGGTGTTGGGCCCATTCTCTTGTCAGATGGCGGCATAGGCATTGCAGCAAGTCGTGCTGGGTCGATCTGACCTGAGGACCGGGTCACGATCATAGACGGTCTCGCTCGCTTGCCAATACTAGCATTTCTAATCAATCCTCGATCGTCGTTGTCATCTGATCCTCGGGATTCCCGACCTTCTGATACTGCATCGAACCTTCTATCGTCTTCATAATCATCATCCTCATCGGATCGATAATAACCAGGCGATTCTGGTCCCCAGCTCGAGGGTATAGCTGCACTTGATGCATATGAACTATGTGAACCAGGGAGTGTTCGTGGACTGAGGCCCATGCCCTCGGATACCTCTGGGATTGGGGAGACGAAAGAAGCTTGGGAATAATATGACGAGGCGCCTCTTCGGGAAGTTGGTGGCGGTCCTAGATTAGCACTTCTCCTTGCTGATGGTGGGATAGCTGGTACAGGAACGGGAAAGTCGGGTATTGTACCAACTGATGAAACAGTCGAAGGACGTGATGATGACAGAGGCGATTGTAATGATTGGTAATTTTGATCAAATTCATCATCTCGATCTCGTGGCGAGCCACGTGTTTGTTGTGGTGGGTATAAATTTTTGGGTTGTGGAGGTGGTTGTGGTTGGTATTGAAAGGTTGGGGTAATGTCTTGTATTCTGGACGAATCAAGGATTGAAGGTACATGACTAGGTCTTGGTGGTCTTTGAGGAGGCGGGCCGCGATTAGGAGGGGGTTGATACTGCTGAGAATCTGGACCAGGATATGTTCCCATTAATGGCCATTGTGGTACTTGAGTAGGTCGAGAAATCGCCAGACCGACTGCACTTTGACTACCATTCTTGAACGTTCCTGGTGGGTTTTGAAATTTTGCTCTTGGTGGACTTGGAATATTGCTCGGTGATGAAGGATCATAAGGTCTTGGTGCAGGTATCGATTCGGTAGGCCTACCTGCTGCCGCTCTTTCTCTTGCCCTCTTCACCGATCCACCCCTTGTCGGCGCATCCCATTGTTGTTGACTCATCTGATAGAGATATTAAACCGTTCGTACTACCAATAGTGAAATGATATTGAGGTATCCGCAAATTCGGATCAATATCCAATCACTCGGATTCTTCCGTGTATTTATTTCGTTTGTATCTGCATGAAGCCGTTCCGTTGAGATTATTATTTTCGCTCTTGAATAGGTTTCTTTTTCCACCACCTTGCAAATGACCAATAGCTTTTCCTAGGATATGCCGCGCCACAATGAAAGTTTCAACCGGCGATTGAGTCTGCGTACCGATTTTCCAAGGTTCGTTTCTTTCCTTTTTGAAAGATGTTGAGGACGGACCCTGAAGTTAGAAGAATGCAAAATTGCTAAAGAGCGTAATTTCGATTCACTGGGAATCGTTAATGAAAGCAAAGAAGGATTGAATATCTATTGGACCGATGTATACTTTCGCATATCAAAGCTCGAAGGTGATTGTATCTAGTGAATGAAAAAGCCAATCAAGGCAATCTGTAAAGTTGAATGTGCACTGTGGCAATCTTAGAGAGTGTAAACTACTCAAGCACAATCAATTAGTAACTATCGCCAGCGACAAATGACCTGCGCGCAATGAAAAGCAAGAAAGCACAATAGAACCAGGGGCAAAAGATTGACTAGAGACGAAGAGGGGCCATAGGGCAAGATACAAGATGGTCTCGGTGTCAAATCTCAAGGGCTTTTGGCTAAAAAGAAACTTCAAATAGATAGTGTTGCCTTGGTGATCAATTGAGAAAAGTCATATCAGTATGAGATGTGAGAATGATCCCATGCAACGAGGTCGTCACGCACCAAAAGCCCGAAAATTCCTCACTATGGCACACTACGGGT